GGCAGCGGCGGCGGCGGCGGCTCCTCCGGGCAGCGCTGGGCTTGTAGGGCGAGGAGTGGCAGCCGCCGGGCGGAGAGAGATGCGCACACACACCAGTGCGGAGAGAGAGAGAGGAGGGATGGAGCGATGCACAGAGCCAGGAGGAGGTAGAGACACCCAGCAGGAAAGGGAGAAAGAGAGAGGGAGAGATGCCCAGAGCTGACGAGTACTGCACGGTGATCAGTGGAAAGGGGAGGAGAGAGAGGCAGAAATGAGAGACATCTCTCAGGGGAGACGGACACTTGCGAGGGAAGAGCGGGTGAGAGAGGCTGCGACGACGCGCTAATCTGATTAACGGGGGAGCGAGCTACAGTAGCCCGGAGAGGAGAAGGCGTACGGGCGGCGGAGGCAGCAGCCACAGCGGGAGGCAGGTGGCACCTCCTCAGTCTCTTAGAGCTCCGTGACCGAGCGCAGACGGAGAGGGAAAAGTCACCTGGAAGCCTCTCTCCACCTCTCGCCTTCCCATCCCGTTTCTCTGGGGAGTCCCATGCCTGCCGCTATCTGGGATGGCAAAGCCTGAGAGCTGGCACAGAAGGAAATCAGGGCTCCTTTATATGCACTGTACGTAGGAGGGGAAAAAAAAAAAAAAATCCCGCCCGTGAGGCTGTCAAGGTCCTCAGTATCCAATTTTCTGTCTATCTCGGCGCCTCTCACCAAGCCGCCCCCTCCCTTGCATGTGACGCAGATGTGCTCTGGGGCCGTCAGTGTGAAGAGACAGAGGGGAAGAGAGAGGCTTCAGGCTTCGTCGTGCAAGTAAGTCGGCAGGTCGCTAACTGCCCCTCACTGCCTCCTCCTCTTCTCCCTCCAGTGCAGGTCTCCTCACCTCGGTGTTTTGTTTCTGAGACAGCTGTATGTTACTGGGAGCTAAATAAAGTGCAACAGCAAATGTATCAGCAGCAGTAAACACAAAAAATGTGAATCACAGGAGTACAGATTTAATAGACTGCATGCAGACTGGATGAGGTTACAGGTTAACGATGTATTCTGCAGGCTCTATTCATTAGCCTGTTGGCTCAGTGTTGCTGTACCAGTAGAAAATATTGGCTAGAGGGACAGTGTGTCAAACAGAAATAGCATGACACATCTGCTTTTTACCTTTCATACCTGCTCTTAATGCAGTCTGACAGTGCTAAACCCAAGGGAGGTTCCTTTCACAACAAAAGTGATCTGCTCAGGAACATCTGCCCACTTGGGAGGGGTGTCACAGAGCACACTGCATCGGGGACGTAATTACAGAATTAAAAGCTTTATGGTGAAATGTAGGAGAGGGATATGGCAGTGAAATTGCATATCGTCACCTGCTGGCTCATAAACCCCACGCATGAAAAGTTGGTGGCAATAAGATGATACACAGAATACCTTCAATTCACCAGTACCTCACTAAGTAATGTTTCAGAAGAAGATTTATCCATAGGAAAATGATGAAATAGATTGTATTTTCATCCAGGATTTTTTTACATTGGCCAGCTTTACCCGTGCACTCCTGAGCTCTCAAAAGTTTGTTACTCTGTGAAATCAAGAAATAAGGGTGAAGGAATTATTTTCTTCAAGTTGGAATGTTTTAACTCCTCATTCATAAAGTATTATGGCTTGTAAATTCCTCCAGGGAAGCACAAAAATCAAACATGAATTAAAAATTTTATTACTGTTATATTTACTTCAGAACAAATATATTACTGTTTTGTTTAGTTTATCAGTAGTGCTTCTGGATACAAACCAATATTAGGGTTTGTGTTTAACACTGATAAAAAAGTCTTGAATTTAACAGTACAAGAATTCAGAGCACCAAGTCCTACTTTCAAAGGAACAAAAATTGCCACTGTGCATTTTAAATATTGATTTATGCCACAATAGCTGGACTGAAAACTCCCTGGTGCCTCAACTTTTTTCTCAGTATTCAGTGATAAAAAAGGGACAGAAACCAGTCTAAATCAAACCGAAGAGACAGTTCATTTTTATCCAGGAACTGATCTGTGTGTGTATGTGCTGCTTAGGAGGGCAGCAGGAAGAAATGCCTAGAAATCTTCATCTAGAATAGGACAGATGAAACTTCAGTAATTTCTGAGAGTCTAGAAATGCATCTCTTATGATGAAATATATGAAATCATCTACAGTGAATACTGGCTACTTAGTGTCTAGTTACACACTCTAAAAGATGGAGGCATCTACATATAAAATAGTTTTAATCAATAAATTTTTAGATAGACAGAATACTCTCCTGTGTTTAAAACCTCTTAACTGATTAGGTCTAGTCAGATATTCTGATTTGAGAAGAATTGCATAATTTCTTTGTTATAAATCTTAGTAATTTTAAAATCTGCATTAATATTTAAATTGGTCATTTGATGTGAACAATTGATAGGTTAGACATTCTATATTCACCTAAACAGATAAATATAAATGACAGTACATTCCAACAAAGTATGTTTTCTAAATATACTTCAGAGGTCACTCAATGAATAGATACTATAGTATCACCCAAGAAAGTGATTTAGGTTTTTTATCACCTGTATATTCAATACAAGCTACCAAGCAATTATAAGGGAAAATATTAGGTTATTTTTTATTCATATGTTTTTATTTCAGTTATGTCAGTAACTGAAATAAAGTCTTGGAGATTTTTTAATAACTAAAATCTCAGCTCTTCTATATATCATGTATAGGCATTGACATACTTCTTAGCAGTACTTGATTCTTTCATATTTTAGTACATAAATAATTTTTTTTCAGTAATAGATGGATTAATTCGGCGTGTATGCCTGCTTTTTCCTGCATGAAGATGTATGAGCACTTGAGTATCATGAAATGAAATCTAGAGAACTGTCTTATCTTAGTTCATATCATGATCACAATTATTATGTCAATATACAGTAAACAAGAGCTACCCCTCAAAAAACTTAAATTGAAGAAGCAGTCATTGTCAGTATTTATAGTTAATTAATAAATTGGTTTCCTGGACATAAAGTAAAAGAATTAAACTGGTTGGTTTAGTTAGGTTTTCACAGAGTCTTATCTTCACATTTCTCAGTGAATGCTTTTGACATATGCCAGGGAGGCAAGTACATGACCTAGGTTATCACATGAGAGGAACACAAAATGTGTTTGAGTTTCAGTTGAAACTTCTGATACATAAAAATATTAACTCCGTAATTTGTCTAGGCTTGCTTCTCCATCCAGAAGAAGAAGAAAATACTTCTCCTACTGGAGTTCTAGGGACCTTACCCATAGGAATTACACTAAAATAATTAGCTTACTAGTCAAATATGTCTTAGTCTACTCATATGGGATTGACATAGACATATGAACAGAACTATGAAATTATACTTGTCTTTTAAGTTGTCAAAGGGAAATATTTTGATGTCTTGAAGCCTTCCATCTGTATCTTATGTGTTCCATAAAGTACAGACAAAATAATACTGATCACAGGTAAATTTTCCTGTCTGTTGGTTGCACACTGTGTATGACATTGTATTTTTGTTTATTAAACAGCATTTCTCAACTTCCATCCCCTTGATTTCATTCCCTTGTAGTTTCCCTTGATTATTCATTGCCACTCAAATCTTGAATTACTTTACAGACTTTCTTTGAAAGTATTCATGGCTCTTTTTTCTTTATCTATTAGTCAGGCAAATAGATGAAAGTGGTTAATCTTTATGTTCGTCTTATGAGTCAAATTCCTGACACTTTCTCTTTGTGTTTTTGCCTTTCTAATGCTCTTCAAATGAAATAAATTCACATAGTCATGTCCCTAAGGAAGTCTCTTGCTCGTGTTTTGTAGGAAAAATGGCCTAGGGATATATATCCTTTCCATAAATCTTTCAAGTAGTAAAAAGCACTTCCAAAGAAAAGAAGCTTGAAGTAGGTATCCAAATGAATCAGATTTTATTAACCCTCTTTTTCCCTCCTTTCCATTGCAAAGGTTTGGACTACTGTTTATTTTTAGGCACATGATTTATGTCAAGCTATTTGCATGTTGTACACCAGGGAGAACTGGTGGATTAGGACTGAAGTTGGGTTTTAGTTGGTTATTGATTGATAAAACAAGCAACAGAGGAGCCCTCATGCAAAGAAGCCCCTTAGGGTTAAGAGTAGTCTTAGTCTTTGTGAGTCTCTGCATTACATAAAGTCAAAAGATACAGCGAGTCTGAGAGTGGTGAGCTGGTATGTGTACTGGGGAATGATAGTTACTAATAAGAGAAGGGCTATACCTCTCAGCAAATTAAAAGGATAAGGCATAATTTTGTTACTGAATTTTGTCCTGTCACATATTTTAATCCTGAAGACGGTAAATTTCAATGAGAAGAAGCATAAAAAAGAAAAAAATCCACAAAAAATGAGAAAGCATTGTGCTTTGGGTAAGAATGTTACTAGAATGAATAGTTTTACAACAATTCTCACTTCAGTGTGGGAATTCTCACATGAATGAATGAACATGCTCTTCAGCTATGAAGATGCTTATTTTGTGGGTGGTTAATTATACATTCAGAAGCTAGAGGGTGTTAAAAAGATGCTGTGAAACAGAACTATAGAATGCTCAAGCTAAAAAAAAGTGGAGAAAGAAATTGATGGGACAGGACATCCATTGGGAGATCAAACCTCAGTGCAGAAAATGTCAGTGTGCTAAGTGATTGAAGCAAGTAAGTAATGCTTTAGAATGATTATTGAAACTTATGGTGTGTACAAAGCCTTTGAACAATTTTTAAGATATGTAGATGTATTCGGAGTCTGTTTTGATAAGTAAGCTGAGAAACACTGGGAATAGATGGTAGTAGGGGGAAACTAAACTCTACACATAATTCTGTGGCATTCCTTTGAGTCAAGTAGTTGAGTTGATTTTCCTCCCATAATCGTATGCAAAGTCATATTTAAAATACTATAGATGTGCCTACACCTATTTACTATGATTGTTTTCTAATGGCAAGAAAAGAATAACAAAACCAGACAAAAAGTAAACCAGAGATGATTTACTTGTCAGTACTTGTGTATGTTTTTTGTAGTGAGTTTTCAACTGAGATTGAACTTTTGAGAATGATTTTGCCTTCAATAAGTTAAAAAGTTAAATGGTGTAATTTCTCAAAAGCGAGCTAGCACAGCAGCTAGGTTTCTGAAAGTGTGGTGACATGACCAACTGCAGTTATTTCAGTTGGTAAAAAAAAATTCTTCCCCACAGTTGTTGATGAGTGTCTTCTTATTAAGGCTGGATAAAAACCAGATACATGAATTACCCCTAGTGGTGACTTGAACAGATACAATTTATTCTGCATTGCAGGAGCCTAGAAGAACAGTCGCTTATCTTATATAAGCTTGAGGGACAGTCATTTCTTAATCCATTTCATTGTGATCACAAGCAGTTGTATAAACGCACCCTAAAGCAGTTTTTAAATGGTCAGAAAATTTCACTTAAGAAGTGTAAATGCTACAGGATTTGTCCTGGGTAGAGAGTCACAAGTAATCTAAGGCTAGAGAATATGAAATTATGATACCAATTATTTTCAAAAAGTAGGGAAGTTAAAGAAAATTAAGATTCTTAAATTCCTAAATAATTTCCCACAATTTCTCTGGTTGTAACAGTTTTCAGTTCTCTTGTGAAATACATAGTTTTTACCCACAGCTCCCAAGCTGCCTATAAATCATTCTTACTTGAAGAAAATGCCATACCTTTTCTCCTAAGTTATGGTCAAGAGAAACAACTGAATTCTACCTACTACACTTTTGGCAGAGCACACATCTTTCGGCTCCTACGCCATACTCCA